GGTTTGGCTCAGTGGATAGAGCATCTGCCTGGAACCTGAAGGTCCCAGGTTCGATTCCGGTCAAGGGCACGTGCCTTGGTTGCGGGCACATCCCCAGTAGGAGGTGTGCAGGAAGCAGCTGGTCGATGTTTCTCTCATCGATGTTTCTAGCTCTCTATCCCTCTCCCTTCCTCTCTGTAAAAAATCAATAAAATATATATTTTTAAAAATATTATTATTATTTATTATTATTATTATTATTTTACTTTTTTATTGTTGACACTATTGCAGATGTCTCAATGCTCGCCTCCCCCACCGCCACCTAGTCCCCAATCGCCTTCCCTCTGGCCATCACACTATTGTCTTTGTCTATGAGTTATGCATATATGTTATTTGGCTAATCTCTTCATCTTCTTTCATCCAGTCCCCCCTTCCCCTCCCCTCTGACAGCTGTCAGTTTGTTCCAAAGTATCTATGCCTCTGTTTCTATTTTGTTCATCATTTTATTTTGTTCATTAGATGCCACGTATAAGTGAGATCATATGGTATTTGCCTTTCTCTGACTGGCTTAACTTGGCATAATACCCTCTCCCACGCACCTTGCATCCCACTCGGTGTGCCTTCTGCCCCCACCTTCTTCTACCAGAAATGAACTTGCCAGCATCACTATTACCTCCGTGATGCCACGTCGACCGGACGCCTCTCTGTCCTCACATAAACCCTCGGCAGCCCTGGTCACAGCCGAGCCCTCCCTCCTCCTTGAAGCACTCTTGGCTTCGGTCACATCTCACTTCCTGGCTTTCCTCTGACCCCACTGGCCTTTCCCTCAGAACTGTTGTGTTGCCAGAAACCTCAGTCTTGTATCTCCTTTCTCGGGTGACCTCATCCATTCCCACGGATTGAAATACCATCTCTATGCCGAAGACTCCCCAGGGTGCAGCTCGCCTCTGGGCTCTGGTTTTGTACTCCCAGCTGCCACCAGGTAAACATCTCTAAAGGCTTCCCAGACTTGGCGTGTCCTCGACAGAGCTCTTGTCTCATTTCCCAAGCTCCTCCAGTCTCACTGCACCCTCATCCTCTCGGAGCCACCCGTGGACCTCCCACCCCTTTCTCTCACTGGTTTATGTGTACGTCCCATCACTCTATATCCCAGACACGGCTCCACATCTGTCTCCATGGCCCCTCCTCCCTCCAGGCTGCCCACATCTCTCATGGATAACAGCCAC